GGGGGGGGGGGGGGATAAAGGATAAGTAGTACCAAATAATAGCAGCAGGGAATACAATGCCTGAGACAAACACAACCACATAAGAGAAAGTAAGCCTATCATATAACATGATACACCAAAAACAGTTTTTTTTTTTTTTGATGAAAAGAAATCCATGAGGGTTAATGATGCACAAATCAAAACGGGGAGGACACTCCCCCCAAACCCTTCTCCACTTAAATACCAGGCTTTTGTTTGCGGTAGGGTTTGAACTCGTGACATGCGCCTACTCCACACATCACTTGCTGCACCACTCTTACCACCAGAACAAAGCCCAGGGGGCAACACTTAAAACAGAATTACAAAAGCTAAAATATCAATCATTAGGATGATACAGTCAAATGAGGTGAAAACAAACTCAGCAATATATGGATGACGAAAAGGGGATTTCACAAGATCGCTACTTAGCAATATGATAAATAACGAACTTGAACAACGAACAATATGGACATCATCCACCCCGAAGTGAACTACACTATATTGAGAATGTCAGACTCATAGATAAACAATGGAGCTGTCTTGGTTTCACTAGTTTACTTAGATATAATAGAACATTGTACTGACACTTATACAGGGTTCTGCCAACGCATATTCCAGAAAATGGAAGTGTGAAGCAGCCTCCCAAACTTCGTTAGATTTGGAAACAAAGATGCAACGAATATGGTTTTTACCATAAATTAGGCAGCAAGGGAAAAACCCAGTTACATATAAAATTTACTGGTAATAGGTAGAAAAAATAGAACATCTATATTTGCTCATCAAAATATGTGGTAGTTATGTTTTATCAAGGGGAAATCAAGTCAAGTCAACTTCACATGTGTTTTTTGCCCTTCCCAGCTCTTTTTGAAGGAAGTGGTCTGATTTCATAATTAAGAACATTTTTGAACTTTCATTCTGAACCTCTCTTACTATTTCCTTTTGCTTTCTTGTAAGTGCAAATTTGCCATGAAAAGTTTAAGACATGCTTGACCAAAATACAAGCCAATGGAATACATAGCATACACTATTTACAAGTGTGAGGATGTTGGGATGGATGTGCGGACATACCAGGAAAGACAAGATTAGGAATGAAGTAATGAGAGACAAGGTGGGAGCGGCATCTGTGGAGGACAAGTTGCGAGAATCGAGGTTGCGATGGTTCGGGCATGTGAATAGGAGAGACATAGATGCCCCGGTTATGATGTGTGAGAGGTTGACCATGGCAGGCTTGAGGAAAGGCAGGGGTAGGCCAAAGAAGTATTGGGGAGAGGTGATTAGGCAGGACATGTCATTTCTTCACCTCACCGAGGACATGACTAATGATAGGAAGGTGTAGAGGTCGAGGATTAAGGTGGTAGGTTGACAGGTAGTTGTGAGTTTCTCCTAAGTTTACCAGTAGTACTAGTACTATTCTTGTAGTCTCTTATTCCTGGTTCTTTATTACTTGTTATATCATTCGCTCCCATTACCATATTACATTATTGCTGCTTTTGCTTGTTGTTTTATTTTTACACACTACCCTCCGCAGATCCCATCTGTGGTGTTAAGTTGGGTTTGTTGTTGTTGTTGTTGTTGTTGTACACTATAAGTGTATAATAGCAATGTTTCATGGCAGCAGAAACCACATAAACCAACACGAAAGGATTTACCAACAGGACAACCCAAAAAGTCATTTAACTGTTTTATTCCATGAGAATATAGCATCTAACTACCTCAGCAAGGTTGACCCATTCCCATGTCTCATTTGCAGTACCCATGTCATAAACAAGAGCATGTCTACCCTGAAAAATTGCATGAATATTTCAGCATGCAACCGTGTGGAGAAAAAAGAGTAAATATTCCAATTAAAAGGATCAGGCATACCTCAGCTGGATTATAATCAGTTATGACTGCTTCATAAAAATTATTGTCATCAGGCCATCTCGTCCTCACTTTCCTTCCAACCAATGGATCAGATGATGCTGCTTCAGCAGGTTCAGAAAACCGATTACCGAGTTGGGCTCTTCCTGAAGGACCAGGAGTAGGGTACTGCATTTTCATTGAAGACGCACCAGGCATCATCTGGCCCTATGAAGATATACATAGCAGGAAAATATCAGAACTATAGACTGACTTGTACCGCAAGCTTTCACGTTTTTAGCAACATCTGACTTACAGATTTATGTTTTTTCCCCTTCGGCCCCGCAATAGGTCCTCTCTTGGCAGCGGATGAAAATGGCTGGTTTGCAGCAGTCACCGCAGGTGGAAGAAAAGTAGGAGATGGTCCAGCAAAGGATTGAGAAGGTAAAGATGGGGCAATCTTCTGTTTCTTCCGTGAAGCTGAAATGGAGGGGCTGGGTATTGGATCATGAACAGATTGACCACCACCAAGCATACCAGATTGATGCCCACCAGATTGCCTCCACTCCCTACAAGCAATAGAGTAACAATTAGCCCCCAAATTTTGACAAACTCCAAACTACAGAAAGACTCACCAAAAAATTCATGCGGGAGAAAGTGACCCTGCTAGCTAGAGAGCTAACCTTATTCTTCTGATGACATCATCATTATTAACTCTAGCAAGAAGTTCTCTATGTTCTTCATTGGACAACCGTAACTCTTTTCTTAACTCGGTTATCAAACTTTCTTTCTCCTGAAGAAAATATATTAATCAAGTAGTCATTTAAACCTGATCAAACAAATACAAATATTAGATTCACGAGTACAGTAATAACAGAATATACCCATGTAATGGCATCAGCTTGAGCTTTAAAGGCTCTCAGAACCGAACTGTATGCTTCTTGCTCAAGTTGATGAATTTGGGCCTCCATATCTGTTTCTCCATACATTCTCGGGTAGGGGACAGAACCAATGATAGCAGATCTTCCATTTCCAGTAATTCGACCACCACCTCTTGGAATCCTATTTTGATGTGATGGAGGAAGATCATCATCAGTTCCTGCATTAATATCGACAGTTTGTGAGATCTAGAACGTCAAGCAACCCTATGCATTGTAAGAAATTAAAAACACAAAACAAATTATAAAACTTATCTATATTAGCACCATACTATCTATCTATACTATATTAAAAGCATGAACACCCTTAGCAAAATATGGTTTATCTTTTTTATCCTTTTAAATAGAGTTCACATTGGACTACATAGCCATTTGATTGTTTTCCTAATAATTAGAAATAATCACTTAATTAATTCCCTACTATTTATGGGTAGTCATTAAATTATTCCCCTAATATTTAGAAATTTAATTTTTTAATTCCTTTCCGTTCTATAATTTCAAGCACTTTTATTTCATACTAGGAAAGTATGTTCATTTTCAACTCCAATTATTATTTAGGAGTATTAAATCTTTCCTAAACATAGAAAGTAAGTTTCTTTTAACCACAAAGTTATAATTTTTTAGTCAAATTAAAAAAGAACCTAATTGCCAATGAGCATACAAATAAAGAAGAAAAAAATATACACACGTACAACTACTACACAAACACGAAGGTTACGTAAGTGGAAGTTAATATATAAATTCTTTCACCAAAAAAATAAATTAAATTCATCCCAACTACATACAAACATTTTTTATATATATCAGATATCTAACGATAAATTTAAGTATAATCATATTTTATATCTATAACTTTATGAAGCATATTAGGTAGTTTAAACGAATATAGGTTATTTTACTATGTTAAAATCAACTAATTATTTCAAAATCGTAGATGCACAAGCTTGCCAATCAATTTTCAAAGTTGTATTGTATTTGTTGCACATAGTTTCTCACCTGAACAACTATACGTGACACTATTAAGAGAGAGATTAATGTCAGATAACAAAAGTTAGATCATGACAAAACAACCAAAATGACAGAAAGGAATATACACCAAATATTCATAAAGAAGTTTTAGGTGAGATATGATCATATCACGTGTTTGTACCTCAACAAATTTTAATTGGCCAACTTCGCAATAGACGGTGCAAATCAGTTGGATTTCAACTCATGTTTCATAAGCAATTCTCTTTCCTACATACTTTCCTCCAACAAAATCAAGGGCATCGGATACGAAAGTACTGTTGTAAAGTTTCGTCGTTTATCTCGTTGTCCATAAATGCAGATAACTATTGCGTGTAGTCAAAAAGAAAAAAGATCAAACTAGGGGTGTGGTTACCTAATACTATCCATGACTAGCAACTAAAAGAAATAAGAGCGATTATTAGCATTTGTAATGCTTTATCATCATAAGACTGATCAGATCTTCTATAAAGGATGCATGAGAACCTAGGTCTATTCCTCACAAAAATTCAAATAATGATGCATCTACGGACTTTTCTGGGGCAAAGTTTCTTCCTTTATAGAGTTAGATAAATGGGGTTGACATTTATCATTTTTAGGAACAAAGATTTTTCCCGTTGATTTTTATTTAATAAATGGACATATAGGATCAGTACTCATCGGTTTCATGAACTTATACTTTTAATTTTTTTTTAACTCAAACACAATTTATATATTTATGAAATTCTCTAAGAAAAATTATATTCATCGAGACAGGAACACGTGCAATTCACGTATCATAAGACTAGTTAATAAAGACACCTAAACCTTATGACAACACCTAGCATTATCCAACTGTCACCTCCTCCGACAGGGACTAATGACGGGCATGGATTCCAACAACTACATAAAACAAGAAGGATCCTCACCCTACTGCTCTTGATATACGAAACAAGGATCACATTCTGCCAATATACATTAAAACTAAGACTAAGCTGCATTGAGAGTACCAACAATAACATCCATAAAACAATCTTAAGCTAGTTAGGCAGGCAATATGAGTTCCATTTCGCTCCATTTATAACCGTTTCAATAATAAATAATATGGGGTTATCTAACACTTGAGGTTCTTTACATTTTCTATTGACATACAAATCTCTAAAAAGATGAAAACCTAATATTAGCATACCAACATGTCTAAGCTTAAAGCCAAACTAGTCGGAATCGCCTAAATGGATCTTTTGCTTCCAAAAAGTTCATTATTTTTTTATTCCCAAGTTTGCGTTCATTTCTGAGAGATTCTATGTCTTTTGAAGCAACTTCCTCCCATGTGATTTTAAGTTTGCCTTAACCCTTCATTCACGCCTACAAACTGATGTACTTGGAGATTAACGTAAGATGTGACTAAACCACCTCAAGCAAATTTCTCTGACCTTATACCACTTCTAAAAATTCGAAACTAAAATTTCTAACTTTTTCTATATGTCAGATCACGACTCTTCAAGTTCAGTACACATCCATAACATAAATTCAGCTAACAAATATGGTTCACAACTTTCTATAACATAACAAGATAAGTGTTTTAATTCTTTTTAAATGATAAATGTTTCAAATTGAGCAGGTCTAAGATGGAGTACCTGGAGTGCAAGTTTAGCGCTGAGTCGAGGGAAATAGGCAGGGACGTGATGCTTGGATCACAGGTCATCCCCAAGAGAGATAGCTTCAAGTACCTTGGATCGATGATTCAGGGGGACGGAGAGATAGACGAGGACTTCACTCACCGTATAGGAGCGGGCTGGATGAAATGGAGGCTTGCATCTGGAGTCTTGTGTGACAAGAAAGTGCCACCGATACTCAAAGGTAAGTCTTATAGAGCTGTGGTTAGACCGGCCATGTTGTATGGGGCAAAGTGTTGGCCGGTTAAGAACTCCCATATCCAGAGGATGAAAGTAGCAGAGATGAGGATGCTGAGATGCATGTGCGAGCACACTAGAATAGACAAGATTAGGAGGTAGGTGTGGCTCCCATTAATAACAAGATACGGGAAGCGAGGCTCAGATGGTTCGGGCACATGCGGAGGAGAAGCCTTGATGCTCCGGTGAGGAGGTGTGAGCGATTGGCCGTGGTGGGTACGAGAAGAGGTAGAGCAAGGCCTAAGAAGTACTGGGGAGAGGTGATTAGGCAGGACATGGTACGACTGCAGATTTCCGAGGACATGGCCCTTGATAGGAAGGTCTGGAGGTCAAGCATTAGGGTTGTAGGTTAGGGGGTAGTAGAGCTTTCCTTACTTCATACCCGGGGTGAGGCGGGGTTGGATTAGGTTTGATCTTAGATGTCTTGCAGTTTATGTTGAGTCCACACTATCCTTGCTGTTTATCTTAGTCCCGGGCCTTGGATATTGGTTACTGTTATTGCATGTCATTTATCTTTTGGTTGTTATGCTTCTGTTACTATTACGGTTTCTACTGGAGTTACTAATGAATTGTCTTTTCTTGTTTTTATTTTCGTCTTTCTGAGCCGAGGTTCTATCGGAAATAGCCTCTCTGCTCTCTGCCCTATCGGGGTAGGGGTAAGGATTTTAATGGGTAGTTGTTGTTGTTGTTGTTGTTTTAACTTTGAGCCCAGTATTCCATTAAACACATTAATTCTTGCAAGAAATCAATTTAAACTTCTCAAAAGACAATAACTAAGGAAGCGGACGCATACAGGAAAGAAAATAACACCAACCAGAAAGCATTAGTTAAACTGACGAACACATCTCAAAGAAAAAGAATTCCTTAAAATACGCCGGATACAGATTTTAATACAATTGCTCAAAATTTCCAAGTCCCAAAAACCTAGTCACAATAATACGAGACAAAACAATCCAAAAGTTTCATCTAAATAACAATGTACGTGCTAATTCCGCTAACCCCAACCCCAAACCACACTATAAAACCCTATTTGAATGAAAAGAAAAATAAAGATCAATTTTTTTGTCAATGTAAAAACTCACCACTGCTATCATACGGCTCGTAGTCCATAGCCAGCTCGTAAACAGGAACTTCGAGCACCGAATAAAATAGAGAGTCGCCGAAAATATGTCAAATCAAATTGAACTAGAACCCGACGGGAAACAAAAGAACCAGAGGCGACGCCGTTTGGAAGTCCAAAATTAAGTGTTAGGGTTTTACAAGTAAGCAAATCAATCAATTGGGTGTGATTTCGGAAGGGAGAGTATGAGTTCGGGAACGCGGACGTGAAAACCTTCGGGTTTTTGCTTTCTGGAAAAATATTTTCTAATGAGCTTAATGTTAGGATTTGAATTCCGTCTTCTTTGATCTTTTTCGCTGTTTTCTTTTTTTTCCCGTTTGATCATTTGTTTGTTGAATCGAATTTACCACGTGAGGAAAAGCACGTGGGGCTTGGGAGCTGATTATTGAATGTAACTAATGGCAGGTTTGACCCAAGCTATTAAGGGCTCGTTTGGTACGAGGGTTAAGGAATAACTAATTCCGAAACAAAATTTAAGAAGAGTTTATCTTATGTTTGGTTGGTAAAAACTACGGCATAATTAATTTTGGGATTAGTTATCCCGGGATTGTAGTGTTTTTTATCCTCATGAAAAGGTGGAATAACTAATCCCGGGATAATTAATTTTGATATAACTCCTTTCCAACCAAACAACCCCTAAGAGAACCATATGCATGGCTGTCAGGGGCGACTCTAAGGCTAGGCCAGTGAGGCTGTTGCCTTAGTCCCCCAAAATTTAAAGGCCCCAAAATTTACTTTAAACTCTTATGGATCAGAAAGATGGGTAACCAATCCTAAATGCCGTGTAGCTTCCTATTTATAGATGTGGTGCACAACACATTCATAAATAAGACTCGACTAGGCACGGCTTTGTAGACTCCCTAGAACAAACTTGCTCTGATACCAATTTGTCACACCCAAACCTAGGTGAGGCGTGGCTGGCACCCAGTGCCGTACTGGCTCGAGCGAACCACTCTGCAACTCTTGAATGCTGGACGTAACCGAGAACATACATAGGCCAACATGGCCGAACTCTATCATACTATAAGCTATCATGGCCAACATGGCCGCAACTCGTAATATATCATAGGCGGCCAAGCGTCATATCAGCTACCCGTCATACTCAAAATATCAATACATGTTCGGGCCGAGGAGGCCACTATGAGTATCAATATCGGACAACCCAGAAAGAAAACATAAGTGAGGGCCGACAAGACCATTAATATACTGTACATACTGAACTTGTGTCTACAAAGCCTCAAAGAGTATCTGACATCAAAATATCGTCGAGACAAGACCTCGGCCTACCCGTAAATCTATAACAAAATCTGATAACATGACCTCTAGACTCGGGTATACTCCGGAAGAGATGGAGTCTTATCGATTTTTCGCTGAATATCAATCATGTCTACTCTGAGGGCTCGTCAAAGTGATTACTTGCACCTGAAGGCATGAAGTGCAGCGCCCCAGCAATGGGACATTAGTACAATGAGATGTACCAAGTATGTGAGGCAGAAAGCAATACATATAAATAAATTCTGAAAATTGAAAAGCATGAATGAATACAAAAATAGTCTCATAAATGATAAGAATAAGAGTGATCTTACCACGTACTCTAGATCGACTTACTAGATCGCTATCACTTGGACCACTTGGTCCTTCAATCTGGTTGAACAACTCAACATATCATAACATACTAAACTATTTCTATCAACCGCTGCTCAGTGATATCTTGTTGTATCGTCGTTGTTACTTATTATAAGAACACAAAGTGGCTCTTATGCGTAGCAAGGTAGACCATCCTTAAGACACACTACAACAATACTATCTAGTGTCATGTACGCGTAGCAAAGCAGACCGTCCGTACGGCTCAACATATTCGGGTCGGACTATGAGTACACATGGGACCATCCATAGCCAACCTTTATCTTACCTATGCGTTTCATAGACCGTCCATAGGTTAACCTTCATTATCCCCCTACGCGTTCCTAGATCGTCCATAGGGAACCTTCTTAGGCATAAATAACATTACAACAACATGCAACAGTCAATATCTTACAAGTTAGGTACTCGTGTCTATAACGTATAACTTCTTCTAGTACTTTCGGTAACTCTTAGTTCGTATTCGGCAACTCGTAATCCCTACTCATTAGCTTTAAGGAGACTCATAACTACTCTCAGATTTACACATCCGTCGTGGCATACTATTAAAAGGCTTTCGAGATTCGCATAATCTTACCTTGACAAATTCATTTGGTACATCGTAGGGCTCGTATTTCATATTGTTTCAAGCGACTCATCGCATTCGTTTACTCAATCTCTACTTCCTTTAATGTATGGAATATCATTACCATTTCCGCATGCGCAAGATTATTCTAGTTAGGTAGTACAATGCATTTCATACCTTATGCGACCTTACATTCTTCTACGTACGATCTATTCTTCATTTGTTTGTTTGCTCATTCACAGCCTTTAAATTTACGGGGAGGTTCTTGTTAAGCAACTTATCACATCTCTTAATTTACATCTGTCTCTTATTAGCATTGGGGATCTTCCGTAGCTACCTTCACTAACAAATGAAAACTACTTCGGCCATTTTATAAGATCATAGGTTCTATACGTGATTTCTACTCATTAGCCATTTATAATTTACCATTAAACGAAGACTATACTTCTCGCCATAGGCTCAACATAAGTTCCATGAGGTCTCTACTTATTTCTAGGAATTAGCGTGGATTACCACTACGAGTAACTCATTTCTTATCTATATTCACTTTTGAAATATTAGAAGCTCTTAACCCGTTAACATAGAACATACGCTAGGACTCGTCCCCTTGAACCTCTTATAAGGGTGAGGTCATTACGGAATCATGCTGGAAGAAGAAGGGGAAAGCCTTACATACCTTTAAGTCGATCCTTCGACGAATATGGTGGGAAAGTCTCCTCTTCAATATAATATACACTAATGAAAACAACACTACTATCAATAATAGTAACATATCAACTAGCTACCACACGACAAGCTTGTTCTATGGCAAATCGGACAGCATCTCCCCCGTTTCTTTCAGCTCCCCCAAGGTCACAACATCAACAATAACATGCCACCCTTAATCCATATATCCAGCACCTTAACAATACGAGAACTGCCCAACAATACAATATAAAAACAACAATAGGGCCAATGTTACGCTTAGGAATAGCTAGCTTACGATACAACGAGCGGCAAGCTCGGTCCTTAACTAGCAACAAAACACTAATCTACACTTCTTCTTCTCTTCAAGTTACATATTAACAACACACACACACACAAATACACATGCACACTCGCGCGCGCGCGCGCACACACACACACACACATATATATATATATGTATATCCCAAAACTCCAGCCATAACAACATCATAAAACACCTTANATATATATACGTCTTTTGATCGTCAACTCATAACTTCTAGCTTCAAACAACTTAGCTAGGGCTTAAATATGATCAAAATCATGTAGGAGAAGAAGAGCTTACCTTTAAACAACAAGAAAAACTCCAAGAACAACTCTCCTTAAACTTGAAAGAACTGATAACATACGAATATTATATGATTCAATTACCATAAAACATGACCTCCTTAGGATATTAAGCATTCCTAGTATACCCTGAAAGTACGGGTTATAACATCTTTGATTCATTTAACCTCCAATCCTCACGATACTTCCTTAACATTTTAACCATCATTATCTTTCTAAAGGTCCTTAAGCTCTCCAGTTTACATTGATTCACTTAAGATGCATTGTAGCATGAAATTATGGTGTGTTACAAATTCAACATATTATATTAGGTTATTTACATTTATTTTAGATATTCACTAACGAGTTCTACTTAACATAATGAACTACAATTATCGTTTAAATTGATTAGAAAGGTGTAAATATTTTTGACACTGTCAATGCTCAAAAGTTAAAGTATTACGTTATGTACGTTCATTTCTTTTTCTTGTTTCTGATGATAGCCAAATCAAAATTCTGAGTTTCAGATCTCAACATCCGATAATCCACTAGTTTATTCTTCGTGCTCTTCTTCCTATTTTTTTGGTAATTCATTGTTTTCCTGAAATGATTAATTTGTTGTTTAGAAAGGAATTTATTCTTGTTAATGTAAAATTTTATAAAATGAATTTAAGGCCTCTCAATATGGTTTCTCTCCTTAGGCCATGAAATCCTTGAGCCGCCCCTGATGGTTGTATGCATATGAATGAAAGATAAGTATGTGTAATACATATAGATAGAAAATAAACATGCAGGGATATATGTATGTGTACAATATATGACTACGGCTACAATACAAATACAAACTAATCCATCATGCACAAATACGAAAGCCTAGACATAATTTCTAGCATAAATAAGAATGCTTAGGTAATCGTACAAACAAATAAGGCATCTTACAACAAGAACATGTTTCAAAATAAGACATAGAAAAGCATAAATCTATCCCAACACAATATAATCTTGGTGTCCGTATATACACTCGTCAGCTTCCATATGCATCATCTCCAAATATGTAGTATTTATCATATAAGTCTATTCAGAAAAAAAAAAATCCTTCAAGTCGAGGTTAGCAGGATACTTACCTTCTTTGAAATAGGCTTCAACCTTCCAAAATACCTTTTCCTCAATCTTCGGCCTCCAAAGGATCAAAATCTAGCCAAAAACTACTCAACGAGGTCAAATAAAGCTATTAGAATCAAATCCAAGTGATAAAGCTTCAATCTTTAATAAAATCTTAAAAGCCAACAAAAAGACAGCACGAGGCCTACATGGTCGAAACCCACGATCAAGGTTGGATCTCATTGACCCATAACCTCATGAGTCCAAATATGTAATTATTTCCTGAATACAAGTCTAAATCGATGTTCAAAACTCCAAAATATACTTTCTTAACTTCCAAACTAAAATCTCTCTTTTTTTCTTTTAGATTCCGTTGTTTAGATAAAATCAATGATAGATCCAAGTAATAATCATAGATTAAGGTTAGGATTCCTTACCCCAATAATGTAGATGAAATCTACTTCAAAAATCTCCCAAATTCCTATTTTGTAGCTCCCGAGATGATAAAATAATATTGATGCATGAAATGGAGTTTATACAACACTGAAAAAATGGCTCGGTGCTATATTGAGTGCAGCACATCCAGTATAGTGTCTGCTCCAGTAAGACAGTAGGTGCGGCGCGCCCACTACTGCGCCTGCCCAGATGCCATGGCAGGTGCGATGCACTATTAACCTCTGCTGCAATCTGCTGGAATTTTAATTCCAAACTCCCCTGAACGTCTCAAAAA